GCTGCATGGGGTTCTTCCTCGGCAGGTGCAGGACCCTGCACTTGCCGCCTTGGTTGAACTTCATGAGGTTGCTCTCTGTCCATCTCCCCAGCCTGTCGAGGTCCCTCTCTGAATGGCAGCACAGCCCTCTGGTGTGCCCAGCAGCCACTCCTCCCAGTTTTGCGTTGTGTGCAGACTTGCTGAGGGCGTGCTCTGCGCCATGGTGCAGCTGTGGCCCCGGTGTGGCCCTTGGGGTGCCCCACTAGTGCCAGGCCTCCAGCTGGACTTGCTGCTGCTGATCACAAGCCTTTGAACCTGGCAGCTGAGTCAAATTTCAGTCTACCTCAGTGTCCGCTTAGCTAGTCAGTACCCCATCCGTTTGCCTATGAGGATGTTATGGCAGAAAGTTTCCTTGTGAAGGAGCACTGTGCTTTGCGCGTTATGTATATAGTCCCTGTATCTTCAGGGCAATCTGGTATAATGAAACAGAAAGTGAGGATGTTTAGAAGCTAATACATTTGTTGTGGGAATGTAGTTGGAACTGGTTGAATTTTGTATCTTCTTCAATCTGAGTGCTATAAAAGATAAGGGAAAATCTTGGGGGAGTAAGTTCCCAGAACTTGGGGAAAACATTCAGCCACTTCAGAGATAGACTGCTAAAGGCTGTTAAGAGCATGGTTTATCTTTCCATTTGGCTATGCTGGGCCAAAGTATTTATTCTATACCAACAAGTCCTATCAATTAAATCCAATAGCATATTGTTTTTATTTTAGTGTTTTTATACCAATGTTATTGCAATAGATGGAAATATATTTAAATGTTTGTACTTATCTTTAATAGCTAATTCTTTGCACTTTAAACCACCTTTCAGTTGAGCAGCTTCTGTTTTTTTTAGGAGAGTTGAAGAAGTGATTTCCCTTTTTGTGTAGGTGCACATGATACTGTTGGATATTGTGCGTTTGCAGAGTTTTATTCCCTCCACCCCGGCTGTCAGTTTTGGCATTTTTTCTACTCATTTCCTCTGGGAGTAGTACCTTTGAGAATGATACAGATTTCAGCAAACTTGAGGGTATTTTAAAAATTAGCTATGACAAGGGAGCCTGTGTGTACATAGATGTGCTGCTGAATCATAGCATCAGAGTTTAGAAAGGAGAAATTCTCCATTGCTTGGTTGAGAGCCAGATTGCTTGACTGTTCTTTGTGCTTCCCCTCTTCCTGTAACATTTGAGTTATGAAGGATGGTAGTTGCTTATCAATGATTCTTGGAGAAGCAGACCAAAGCCTCCGCTGCCCCCCCTTCTTTTCCTACACTGTTTTTTGATTAAGTCTGAGATGTGAAACAGAACAGAACTGAGTAAGGAGCCACCTTTTTGTGTCACATCAGAGGTCTGCAAAATCCAGCTCTGAAGAGATTCTTCTGAATTAAGCAGTTGCTTAGTTTGTCAGAATTTTAATCTCTTTAACACAGGGCCTTTTACAATGTATGTATTTCAGAAGATCTTGCAAACAGCCTCTTGCAGGTTTTTTTTTGGCTGTCTGCTCATAAAACCGAGGTGTAAAACTACCTATTAAGCATGGCCAAGAGAGAAAGAGATGATAAATAAATTGCAATAGAGTAGGAAGGAACAGCTTTGATTATGGCCTTTTTAATACTAGAAATGCTTCAGAAATAGAGAAAGCAAACCTGTTAAGGGAATAAAGACCTTTAAAAGTCAAGATGCATGTATTTCTCTTCCACCTCTCACTCCTTAGAGGACAAATTTTCAGCCTTTTTAAAATGCTGTATTACATTTATATTAGATCCCGTTTCTAGGATGGAGATGAAAAGTTTGACCAAAATACCACTGCTGAGGTGCTAGCTTCATTCATTTATTCTGTGATGAAGAAGCTCTTCTGGAGGTGTGGAAAGGAATAGCTTGAACCATAAAAGGTTGAGAGAGTGTGGGTTTTGTTGTCGTTTTTGGTTTTGGTTTTTGCACCTTCACAAATGAAAGCAATTATCTGATGTGGAAAATATGACTTGAGATGAATAGAACGGGCATGCTGATAAGTTATAAAATTCAGAGTCTACAGATGTCCCCGAAAACCTAATTATAAGTCTCTCTCTAATTAGTAAATGCATCCCAGTTTATTCTGAAGATAGGTTTTCCTTCTGGGACTGTAGATCCAGGGATGGAGGTACTTTTTTCCACAGTTATGTTTTATTTCATGCTGTTTATGTGTAGATTTGCTCAGTGTTTGCAAAATTAAAGACCTGACTACCTGCAAAGCCCTTTTTTCATTCATTTTTTTCTTAGGTGTATTTAAACTTATTCTTCCCCTTCCCTTGAAGTCAGAGTCCAGAGGGCAAACTAATCACAAGGAAAACTGTTCAGTCTGTGTAGTTTAAAATCAGGATTGAAGTGTTTTATTGATTTACTAATCACATGTAGTTAACTGACAATCATTTATTAATGGCACTTAATTGGCGATCCCTGAACTATCCCTTTCAGCGTGCATTCCAGCAATAAAACAAACACTCACCAGTTTCTATGTGCACTCCTATGCCTAATCCCCAAAAGGTCTAACCGCTTCCCTCACCTCCGCTAATACATAAAGCTGTATGCACTTCTCCACCTCCCATGTGTGTTATAAGCACATGGCATGTCCCTGTATACTCATCCCACCTGTCAGAAGTGTGGGTGCTTGAGCTTTAGGTTTTTAGATGCATCTCAAGAGTACCATAGAAGAGAGACCTTGAGAGAAGACAGATGATTTTGAGTGGTTACATACACTTCCGGGCTCTTTCTTACCTGAATGATGTGGCTGAGACTCCAGAAGTGCCCATCCTTCTCATGACGTGGTTTACTGTTTAATAGCAGATTTTAATTTTTTGAAAAAAACACGTAATCTTCCTCCTTTGCTCTTTGGGGAAAAGGAAAGGCTGTGCTTGGTGGTTCAGCTTGCAGATCCCCTCCTTCCTCCTACACCTTCCAACGAAGATATGCTGATCTTGTTGACTGAATTGCCGGTGTCCCAGATTTAGCAACTACCAATTTTGGCCATGACCATCAACAGTGAGCTCTCAGATTTTGACTGACCTAGAAAAGGATTGTATTTGAGATGAAGAATAATGTGTCATTTATTCTTGAAAACTAAATAAACATTAAGGAAGCACAGCTGGGTTCTTTCTGTTGGAGAAGGCCATCAAGTTCTCAACTTCAGCAGCAACCTCTGATCAGCCTGCCTTGGTACCAGCTAGTCATTGGTTTACCTCCTCTGAAGTGAGTGCTATTCCTAAATGTCCATATTCCACTCTTGGATGCTTGAGTGCACTGCTGGCATGTGTTTAAATGTCTTCTGTGACATTTTTTTCCTCAAGTTTTTTGGTTATGAGAACTAGTGCTATTGGACTGTCTGGATTCGGAGTGGTGCCAGGTTTTTAATTTCCAGACAGGCATAAAAGGTCTAACCTGGCATACAAAAATATTAGTAAGTTTGTGGCTGAAATAAGGAAACTAAAATTTGCTGTCAGTTTGGACTGTCAAATTGGATACTAAATTTACACTGTGCTAGCTAAATGAGGCAGAAGAAATAAAATATAAACTAAATTTAAAGCCCTCCATCTGAAAATAGAGCATAGATTTGGAGAACTATTTTTGCTCATGTCCTGCTGTGATTATGAAGTAAATGAGAGTTCTTGACTGTGTTGCTGGATCTTTATTA